GCTTGTTGCTGCCAAACCAGCTGGACCGATCACCTGACCCTTTAACTGAGGTTATGCGTCTGCTCTGAGCTGACATGCGGAACGTGGACAGACTCACCGGAGCTTTTGGAGTTGCGCTCTTTCTACATCTCAGCCAGTGACTTTTTCAAAATTAGTTTTTCTGCGTTTTTTACGCAATTTAAATCGCTTTGGCGCGCCATGTCAAACTGCCGCAGCAGACCGCGTAGAGGCGCGGCGTCTTGGTGAAAGTTGCGCTCAGGTCTGCTTCAGCTCAGGATGCACTGCCTGCGGACACCGGGCGCTGCGTCCGCTTGGATCCGAGTCGCGCTTCTCCTCTGGGGGATCTCCGCCGCTGTAGCCAAGAGACACGTGGTTTACTGGAACTCCACCAACACCAGGTGAGACTCGGGAGTTACGGGGCCTGAGTGGGTCCAACCCGCCCAAACTTCCCAGGCTGTTGCGCAACATTCCCGGCAGCTCCCTGCTGAATGAGTCAGGCTTTGGTTTGTTTAGGAATCTCAGCTATGCGGAGGATCTCGTCCTTAAACTTAATTAAAGAGCAGCAGGTGATGACTGATGCTCCTCTAACCAAACAGCTGTCAGACAGGTATGGGCTGTGGTCACGCCTTCATCCTACAGCAGAGTTTCACCTGTCTGTGCCCAACAGGAAGTTAAAGGACGGTTTTAAATGTTTTCTGTGCCCCTTTTAGAGTTCTCATGACACCACTGGATATTAAAGTCTTAAGTGCTTTCTGTGCTTAGTGAGATACGCAGTTGGGCAATGGAAAGATGCATGTTTGTTAGTGTAATGGGATGATTGTGCAGGCTGAGCGAGGCTCACCTGCTCATCCAGGTGTTCCTGTCTGCATAATTGAGGGGTTGAGGTAAGAAAGATGACGCTCCAGGCCTAAAATCACATCTCCTGCTTATTTAAAGACTTTTGTTACCTATATCATCTCATTTGTCAGCTGCTGCTTCAGATTTTACAAAATGACCCCAGAGGTTTAATAATCCCCCCCAAATAAATAAAAGGCTTTTCTGAGATGCCGGTAGAACCCAGAGCTGTAATTGGGATTCAACTGAAAAGTAGTTTGGGAGAAACTCTGAGGATTAAGGAGCACCTTTTTGATGTTCCCCTGAGGTCCGGGGAGATGAATGGTCTCAGCCTGTAGCAGGGGCCACGCAATCACAGCACCATCAGCATCACGGTGCGGGAGAGTCACTCTCATCAGCAGCACCACCCAATCACAGAGCTATCAGTGATGTCCAAATCCTCCGACTCCCCTCTCCCTCGACCCTCTCCCTCTTCATCACTTCTTTCTCTTCCTCTTCATTAGCTCTCTCGCTCTATATTTCTTTTTTTCTGCCCCATCTCTCACGACTCCCTTCTGCCTTGTGATGGTTATTGGCACTGTGATTATTTGGGCTTCAGTCATTTTCTCAAACTGTATTTTCTATTAGCCGCCTGCCAGCAGCTGGTCTGTCACCTCTCCAGTCCCGTTAAGGCAGCTGCACAGGGACGGGGAGGGGGTTGTTGGTTCAACGCTGCGCCATGGGGCCCATGACTGCCTCAGATTATCTTCTTACAGTTTAGCTAAGCTACTGTATGTTGAATGTTACCAGTTATGGGGTCAGTCCTTTCCTAAAACTGTGTCAGGATTTCTTTTTGTTATTCTAGATCCGCCCCTCATGCTGGAGAGTTTAGAATCTGGAACTAAACAGCTTTTAGAGGAAGTATTCAATTCAAGATGGCCGCAGTGGCTAAAGGACATAACTCAGTGAATTTTACGGGTGTTATGGCGTGTTCGTCGCTAAGAGTCATCTTCAAAACAAGCTGTTGACACAAACCGATCATCATGTGTCTGTGCTTTAAACTTTGTTAACTACAGGAGTCAGCCCTGTTTAAAGTTTCATGAGATGGTAGCAACATGCTAGTAGCAACATGCTAGCATCCAGCGTTTACTTTTGATCCTCCTGCCTCTTCCGTTGTAGAATGGAGACGTTCCCCTCGCTTCAATGGCATCAATGTCGGGTAAAATCTGACGTAGCAAGTCATTTAGGAAAATCAGCAGATCAAATTTAAACCCGTAAGTGAATAATATCAGCTGCAAGGCACAAACACTTTGGATCGGGGCAGTTTTTGTCTGGCGAGGGAAAATGCTGTATCTTGGCATGTTTTGTGAGATTATGCAGCAGTTGTTTTTTTGCTCATTTCTTAACGTGATTAGAGTTTAAAACTCTGTCATTGTGCTCTCCTGAAAAATGATCATTTTTAAAGAGCAAGTTCACTAGGGCTGTAGCGAAGCCTCAATGACGTCGACGGCTCGATTCTAAAAATCCGTCGACGTCAGGTCCGGTAGTCGACGCACCGCGCCCACTTGTTGCATCCCCAGGAGTTTGTAAATAGAGGAGGAATCTGCCTGTTTTCCCTCTAGTTCGCCCTCTTCTCCACCTTCACTAACATCTCTACCAAATACCGACCCGGAACAACGTCCATCCGCTACTAGATTCCTTTCCTTTTTTGCCCGCCTTCGTCTCACTGCAACGGACAACAACTTCCGGGGTCAGATGCGCTGCTCCGTCTCTTTTGCAGATGTAGAAAATCACCGGGAGCGTTTCTCCCTTCATAAAGGAGCTTCTTTCAGACATTAGGAGAGCTGTTTTGGTGGTAGCAGTCTCTCCTCCGTGCTGGTCTGTTTGCTGCTGGGTGTTTTTGGTTTATTTAAACTTGGTAACTTGAACTTAACGTTGGTAAAGCTACTGTTAGCATTTTCGCTAACAGCTTCTTGCGTTTGGATAAGCTATTAGGTTTTCGTTTAGAGTTCATCTTTTTTGTGGTGTAGATCTCCCTTTTATTACATTTAGAGTGTTGTGGGTTTTCGGTTTAGTTTAAAATATCACCTTGAGTTTGGTTTAACCGCCCAGTTTAGAGTTTGGACCTTTGGAGTCCCTTATTTTGGTGTAGAACCCTGTAATCTTTGCCCAGTGGGACATCCCTACTTATTAGTACTTTTGTTTTAATTCCCCACAGGCAGAATTAGTTTTATTATTCCCAACCAAGCCCCCACAATGCGGGTGAAAATTGAAGCAAACCCGGAAATGAAATAAATTGCAGTTCCACCCTCATCCACTAGGGGCTGGTGTCAGAAGCGAGCAAATCCTCATTGACTCCCATGTTAAAAATACCAATTTCACAGCAGAAATAAACATGTTTACAGCCTGGTACCAAAACATGTTTTTGGTTTAAATGATCTAGTTTACACTCATGACAACTCTGAGGGGGGTGAATTTTTTTCTCACTCTTCTGTTTAAGTGTATTAAAAGCCTAAAATTCTGTATAATTAATGAGCATCAGACCCACGTGACCACAGAGCTAGCTCTGGGGAAAGGCCTCAGTAGAGCCTCGGCCTCGCCTGGAAACTGTTCCGGGATTTTGAGTCTCTGTGTTTGTGTATTCTTTTTTGGATATTTTTTGTGCAATTGTTGGACAAAATGACTTGCTGTGGCATTAATTGCACTAATAGAGCGTCCAAGGAGTCTCCACTTCATTTTTTTCGATAAGTAAAATGATATTTATGTATTTTAGGTCACTGCCGAGCTGAGCTTAGATTTTAACATGCACTGTTTATCCATGAAATGTAAATGTAATAGGGTAAAACCCAGTGCATTTAACATAATGCTGCACTTTAGAAAATGGGTTGAAACATTTACTGACATTTACTCTTTTAAACCTTGCGTTGACGCAGGCACCATCTTTGTTCGCATACTTGCTGCTGCACGGCACTGCATGTAGTACTGGAGGATTCCAGTAGGGGGCACACTAAATAATTCAGACTAAATAGAGAGCTGGGTTCGTGGGGTACAACCAAAACAAACATGGCGTACGCATTGTTAAAACTACAGCATATTCCTGCCCCTGTGAAACGGTCGAATTGGAAAAGCCTGACAGATCTACATCACACAGAAAATTAGAATTCATGGACTCACTCATGCTGACTCGCAACAGGGAAGGCTGTTGTTGGTTTAGCGTCCAGGAAACAGCAGAAAATGACTTGGCTATTAGAAGCTAACTGTTAGCATTAGCAACTCCACCACATGGCAGAAGTCATCAAGGCTGCAGAGCAAACATAGGCAGTTGCAGAGTTGTGTTGCTGTTAGCCAGTCCGAGGAGATATGACGAAGTATCAGGAAGTAAAACTCCAAATCCTGCCCTCTGAAGCTCAACTCCGATCTGGCTCACTTCTAGTTCCTTAAACATGAGCGCCCGAGCTTTTTTTCCCCCAGAGATTGACTCACAAGGCATTTATTTGCAATAAAGACCATTTACAAATCTGCTGAAAAAATTAGTGAACTTGGACTTTAATTTTAGACTTTGGTAAACTCCTAAAAAGGTAAAATTCAGAGAACTTCATGATGTTCATTTGGCTGGACGGTGCTATTAATTATGCTCGTTTTTTTCTTACTGCCACCAAACACACAACAACCACTGTGCCTGCTTTTCCATCACGACTTCAGGTTGGGAGCAGAAGACTTCGGTGTGGATGACATGACACCGTCTCTGGTCGCCACCTCTCCTTTGACATCCATATTTATGGTTTTAATGAAGCGGGGGCAATGAAGTGGAGACTGAAGAGGCTCGTTTGCTTCGCTCTTCTCTCGTTAATATGCCCGTAACAAAGGCTCGATGAAACACTTCACCCGACACACATTTAGCACTCTGCAGATTGAAAAATGGAGCTCTGCAGTGAAGGTGATGGGCTGAGTGCCGGGTCAGCGGTGGATGCTGAGGGATCCGATACCCCGGCTTCTCCTTTTGTAGGGCTCAAGTGGTCGGCCTCTTTTATGATTTTTATGAAGAGAGTTTACGATCACACTCGGCTTTATGACTGCGTCTCCTTCTGCGCAATAGTTCCTTATTAGATGAGGAATTGTGTTGTACTTCCCGGAGCAGTAAAGTTACATAACCACAGTTGTTTGTGTGTATTTGTGTGTACAAACAACAATCCTCAGTTCTGAGCTGGAAGCTGCAGCTACTTTATTGTGCTTTTGGCCCAAAACACTTTGACCATACTATGTTGTGATGCAGCCGTGTCTGCTAGATTTATATTTTTTATGCTACATCCATCCTCATAAATCCACTCACACTTTAGCGAGAGATGATCTGAGAAAAGCCTTTTCTCGCCTGGATATGAGCAGCTCATACATCTGTAACAAGAATAAATGTCACCCGTACCTGAACCTGAAATCAGCTCCACTCTTTATTTATCCTCTGACTTGGGTTTTCGCCTGCTTCCCCCAGGAGAGGAAGCAAACTCGCTGCAGTTACTCCAAACCTCTGGTTTGAAATCCTTTTTGACTTCTTGAAAAAAGCTTAGCCTTTAATTTTCTTGGATAATGA